CTACTAAAAATACAAAAATTAGCCGAGCGTGGTAGCCTGTAATCCCAGCTACTTGGGAGGCTGAGGCACGAGAATTGCTTGAACCCGGGAGACGGAGGTTACAGTGAGCTGAGATCACACCACTGCACTCCAGCCTGGGTGACAGGGTGAAACCCTGTCTCCAAAAAAAAAAAAAAAAAAGTTTATGCTACTATGTAATGAGTATTTTATTGATTTTTAAATGAATGAATAAGTATTTTTAAAATTTATCAGCTTAGGCCGGGCATGGTGGCTCATGCCTGTAATCCCAACATTTTGGGAGGCCAAGGTGGGTGGATCATCTGAGGTCAGGGGTTCGAGACCAACCTGGCCAACATGGTGAAACCCCATCTATACTAAAAATTACAAAAATTAGCTGGATGTGGTGGTGCATGCCTGTAATCCCAGCTACTAGGGAGACTGAGGCAGGACAATTGCTTGAACCTGGGGAGACGGAGATTGCAGTGAGCCAAGATCGCACCACTGTACTCCAGCCTGGGTGACAGAGTGAGATTCTGTCTCAAAAATAAAACAAAATAATAAAATAAATTAAAATTTATCAGCTTAAATTTCTTATATGGTACACATTGTTAGATGTATGCCACATATACAAGAGTTAATTCGTTTCACAATAATTTTTAAGTTGTAAAGGGACCCACCCTGAGCTTAAACTTTTAGAACTGCTGCTCTAAAGTAACCATTTAAAAGATCAAATAGGCCGGGCACAGTGGCTCATGCCCGTAATCCCAGCACTTTGAGAAGCCAAGGCAGGATCACTTCAGCCCCGGAATTCGAGACCAGGCTGAGCAACATAGTAAGACCTCATCTCTACAAATAATATGACCAAAAAAAAAGATAAAATTAGGAGGTTTAGCTAAAAGTCAATAGAGGAGACAACATGGACTACTAAAAATATATGCAATAGACCCAAAACGACAAAGAGATACAATTTCAAAATCCATCAGGTTGCAGAAAATATTAAAAATCAGACAAATATCAAATGTTCGCAAGAATGTGGAGAAATGACAATTATTTTACAATGCTGATGGGGTGCACATTGGACACATCTTTGGAGAGCAATTCGGCATATTACAACAATCAAGGACTATGTCACACACATCAGACTGGCAAAAATCTAAAGGTCCAAGTTTTGGCAACAATGGGATAAAATGGAAACTCCTCCTCTGCTGGTAGAACGCACTTTGGAGGGCCACTGGGCAGTTGTCAGTAAAATCAAATATGCATGTACCCTAAACTCAGCAACCTATCCTAGCTCTATACCCTGGGTTTGTACTCTGCACTTCTACCAGTTTGTACATGTGCAAAGATACTTATCTGTAATTGTTAATATTGTTACAGAAATAACCTGTGGCACACACTGTTGGTGGTCTACCCATATCCCTTTGGCATTCACCACTCCTGTGCGTGCAAATCAAAGAGCTTCCCACTGCCAGCACCTTCGATGCTACCTGAGGGTTTTCCCTGGCCCTCGGAGTCTGCTCAGCCAGCATGTGGAGCAGATCAGAAGCACCAGAGTGAACTGCCCCTCTGCCAGCAGCATACAACCAGTGACGACTGGAGTTGGTGGATAAATCCGCTAAGTCTCTCATCTCTCACTTAGGATGAGTCTGCAGTACATTCTACGTTCTCCCAGGAATTCCCTGGGGGGATTGAGCCCACTTGCTCACAGCAATTACCTGTCGATGATGCACCTTTTACTGGTTTCCCTCCTCAGCTGTCTTACTTCCCCACTTCCCTGTCAGTGCTCACTGGAATTACCTTCCAAATAAACCATTTGCTCTCACATCCTTCCCCCAGGGTCAGTTTCTGCTGAAACCAGTACTTCATAAGTGCTTTTCGACAGGAAGATGGGTAAATAACGTGTGATACACAATGAAACAGAGGTAGCAGTTACAATGCATCCAGAGCTACATGTGCCAACGTGGATAAACATGAAACATATTTTGTGTGACAAAAGCAGGGTGCAGAATAGTAATAACAGTACAATGACACTTAACATAACTTGTATTCCTAGCTACCCATGCAGTTGGGGTGGCCACGTTACACAATTCTAGTCAATAAGATAGAAACATAAGACTGCTAGAAAGGGTAAGTTCCTGGGACAGTTTTGGTCTTTTCAGGAAGGAAAGAAGGAAGGAAGGAAGGAAGGAAGGAAGGAAGGAAGGAAGGAAGGAAGGAAGGGAGGGAGGGAGGGAGGGAGGGAGGGAGGGAGGGAAGGGATGTGGCTTGAGTTTTCCCTCCCCTCTTCTTCCTGTCTTGATCATGACATGAAGGCTGGAGCTATAGCGGCCATTTGGTCTCCATGAGGAAGAGGTCAAGACAATCATGAAGGCTCATGCCTGTAATCCCAACACTTTGGGAGTCCGAGGTGGGAGGATCACTTGAGGCCAGGTGTTGGAGACCAGCCTGGGCAACATAGTGAGACCTCATAACTACAAAACATAAAAAAAAAAAATTTAAAAAAATTAGTGAGGCCGGGTGCTGTGGCTCACGCCTGTAATCCCAGCATTTTGGGAGGCCAAGGCGGGTGGATCACAAGGTCAGGAGTTCGAGACCAGCCTGGTCAATATGGTGAAACTCCGTCTCTACTAAAAATACAAAAATTAGCCAGGTGTGCTGGTGGGCGCCTGTAGTTCCAGCTACTAGGGAGGCTGAGGCAGGAGAATCACTTGAACCTCTGGGGTGGAGGCTGTAGTGAGCCGAGATCACGCCACTGCACTCCAGCCTGGGCAACAGAGCAAGAGTTTGAAAAAAAAAAAATAGCCAAGTGCACTGGCATGAGCCTGTAGTTCCAGCTACTCAGAAGGCTGAGATGGGAGGATTGCATGAGCCTGGGAGATCAAGGCTGCAGTGAGCCATGATCACACCACTGCACTCCAGCCTGGGCAACAGAGTGAGACTCCATCTCAAAAAAAGAAAAAAAAAAGGCAATCATGAAGACGCTGGCTCTGACATTACTGAACCACTGTACCAGCACTCCAGGCTCTTTGTAATGTGAAGAAAATAAATACAATTTGTTTAAGCTACTATTACGAGTTTTCTCTTACTGGTAGTGGAACACATATCTACATGTGCCCTAATAAGGCACATAAATAAAAAATGTTTTATGGTAAATACCTGTGTGTGTGTGCGTGTGCGTGTGTGCCTTTATGAAATAAGTAGATGGGGCCTTGATATGGTTTGGATGTTTGTCCCCTCCAAGTCTCAAGTTAAAATGTGATTCTCAGTGTTGAAGGTGGGACCTGGTGGGAGGTGATTGGATGCTGAAAACGTATCCCTCATGAATGGTTTGGCAACATCCCTTTGGTGATAAGTGAGTTTTCACTCAGTTCATGGGAGATCTGGTTGTTTAAAAGAGCCTAGGATCTCTCCCTTGTTCCCACTCTTGCCATGTGACATGCCTGCTCCCCCTTTGCCTTCCACCATGATTGTAAGCTCCCTGAGGCCTCATCAGAAGCTGAGCAGATGCTGGTGCCATGCTTGTACAGTCTGTAGAAACATAAGCCAATTATACCTCTTTTCTTTATAAATTACTCAGTCTCAATTAGCCACGCGTGGTGGCGGGCACCTGGAATTCCAGCTACTCGGGAGGCTGAGGCAGGAGAATCGCTTAAACCTGGGAGGCGGAGGTTGCAGTGAGCCAAGATCAGGTCATTGCACTCCAGCCTGGGCAACAAGAGCGAAACTCTGTCTCAACATAAATCAATCAATAAATAAAAAGTCTCAGCTATTCCTTTATAGCAATGCAAAAACAGCCTAACACAGGCCTGTTAAGTGCTCTTTGTTTTGTTGGGATGGGGGTCAGGTGGGCATGTATGTTTAGGGCCAGGATCCGGAACATTGCTGAGTTGCCCTGCATAAGAGAGTGAGAGATTTGAAGTTGGTGGGATAGTCAGTATGGAGAGAAAGAAGGCAAAGAAGATGGGCGCTGCATGAGAGAAGCATCCCAAATCACACATGCCCTCTTCAGTGGTGGTATAGCCAGGAGGGACTTTAGAAAGAACAGAAATATCTGGCTGGGCACGGTGGCTCATGCCTGTAATCCCAGCACTTTGGGAGGCCGAGGCAGGTGGATCACCTGAGGTCGGGAGTTCGAGACCAGCCTGACCAACATGGAGAAATCCTGTCTCTACTAAAAATACAAAATTAGCTGGGCATGATGGTGCATGCCTGTAATCCCAGCTACTCGGGAGGCTGAGGCAGGAGAATCACTTGAATCCAGGAGGCAGAGTTTGCCGTGAGCTGAGATCATGCCATTGCCCTCCAGTCTGGGTAACAAGAGCGAAACTCAAAGGAAAAGAACAGAAAAGAAAAGAAAGAAAAGAAAAGGAGAGAAAGACAGAGAGAGAGAGAGAGAAATATCTAATGAGCCAGAGAATAGATTATCAAAACATTTGCTATGTAAATTACCTCCTCTAACTCCCCATAAAAATCTTCAATAAAGTCTACATTGTTCACTCCTGCTTTGTGCAAGTGGATTCTCTTTAGGAGATCCAAAGGGGTGCTGGGTTTGGCATCCAGGTTGTTGATGCAGAGTGAAGCAGATCAGAGGACAGCTGACATGCAAGTCATCAAGTCATCACAGGGTTGTTGAAGGAGGCAGGAGAGACCAAAGTTAGATAGTGGGCCCTGGAGTCTAACAAGCTCTGCCCCTAACTGATCATGTGATCTTGAGCAAGTCACTTAGCCTTTTTGAGCTTCAGTTTCTCCATCTGTAAAATGGGCACAATAGTAGTATCTACTTCAAATGGTTGGGGTCAGGATTCAATGAGCCAATACAGGTAAAGTGACAGGCCCAGAGCCTGGCACATGGTAAGTGCTCAATAATGGTTTAGCTTTACTAGTTCTACTATCATTTTCATTATAATTGTTGAAGTAGAAAAGTGAGAGAGGGATTGAAAAGGGGAGGGAGGGAGGGAGGTTGGTTGTCTGTGATTGTTGGATTGGATGGGACCACTCACCGCTCTTTTCCCTTTGACAATCCATGGCCCTTGTAATTTTGGTTCTGCAATGAGGAAAGGAAAAGGCTGTAACTGGTTTTGTATATCTGCCCTGCTTTCCCAGGTTAACTTACTGCACATATTAAAATGCCGAAACCATCAGACTCAATAATGCCTAGGTTCTGAGACATGAAGGTCCAGTCTGATCAAGTTCCCACTGGCCACCATGTCCCCAGCAAATGGACCAGAATTTATCTGCTATGAATGAACTCCCAAGTATCCAAGGTACCACCTTACTGCAGGTTTGCTCCACAGATATGACCAGTATAGCAAATGCCTGATTTTCAGTACTCCAAAGGTCAGCCCTGAACCCCAGTTTTGAAAGCTCAGCTCAATACACTGTGTGAGAAGGATCTGAACTTTTTTTTTCCTTGTTGTTTTTGAGATGGAGTCTCGCTCTGTCACCCAGGCTGGAGTGCAGTGGCGCAATCTCAGCTCACTGCAACTTCCACCTCCTGGGTTCAAGTGATTCTCAGCCTCCCTAGTAACTGGAATTAAAGGTGCCCACCACCACACCCAGCCAATTTTTGTATTTTTAGTAGAGACAGGGTTTCGCCATGTTGGCCAGGCTTGTCTGGAACTCCTGACCTCAGGTGATCCGCCCGCCTCAGCCTCCCAAAGTGCTGGAATTACAGGTGTGAGCCACCACACCCAGCCGATCTGGACTTTCTACTCTTAACTTGGAATGTTTGATTAAATTGATCCCAGAAGGGGCTAGGTCAAAGACTCAGAGCAATGTCAATTCCTTTCACCCCAAATGGACTTTTCTTTTTTTTTTTTTTTTTTTGAGACGGAGTCTCGCTCTGTCGCCCAGGCTGGAGTGCAGTGGCCGGATCTCAGCTCACTGCAAGCTCCGCCTCCCGGGTTTACGCCATTCTCCTGCCTCAGCCTCCCGAGTAGCTGGGACTACAGGCGCCCGCCACCTTGCCCGGCTAGTTTTTTGTATTTTTTAGTAGAGACGGGGTTTCACCGTGTTAGCCAGGATGGTCTCGATCTCCTGACCTCGTGATCCACCCGTCTCAGCCTCCCAAAGTGTTGGGATTACAGGCTTGAGCCACCGCGCCCAGCCCAAATGGACTTTTCAAATCCTCAGTGGGTGGTGGGTATTATTTCACTTCAACCATGTCCAAAACAGTTTGGCCCTCTGTCCTGGGAAGACCGATTCCTAAGGCACGTATGACGAGAGAAATCGAAATTGGTCCTGTGCAGGATGACATTTGCAGCTGGGACAGACCTGCCATCTGCATTCATTTTCTATTGCTGGGTAACAAATTATCACAAAATCAGTGGCTTAAAATGATGGGAATCCATTATCTCAGTTTCCATGGGCCAGGATCGTGGGCATGGCTTAGCTGCATCATCGGCTCAGCTCTCACAAGGCCACAGTCAAGGTGATGGCTGGGGTTATGGCTCTCATCTGGGGCTTGGGGTCCCCTTCCAAGCTGATTCAGGTTGTTGGTAGAATTCAGTTGCCAGGGGTTGTAGGATGGAGGTCTCTGTTTACTTGCTAGCTGTCTGCTGGGGACTGCTCTCAGCTCCTAGAGGCTGCCTGCAGCTCCCTGCAGTGTGGCCCCCATAGGCACTTCACAACATGCACATTTGTTTTCCTCCAGGCCACGTGGAGCACATCCCTCTAACTTCCAATCCTCCCCTCTCCAAGTCACCTATGATGGAGTCTTAAGTAATGGAAGGTAATCACCATAGTAACCATACCATCAAATTCACAGACTCCTCCATGCTCAAGGAGAGATAATTGTACAAGGCATGTACGCCAGGGGGTGGGAATCTTGGGGCCCATCTTAGAATTCTGCTTAGCATACCAGCCTACCCCTCAAAGAGCGGCGGAGAGGAGTGGAGGATACTGCTTTACAAAACTGGCAGAAGCAAGCCCCACTGAAACACAGTGAAATCTTCTTTCATTCTTCCATTCAAGCCCTTCCAACTCCCCCAACACTAGTCAAGCTGTCCTCGTCTTTTTGTATTTTATCTTTAATCCTCTCTCATGCTTTCAATTCCATTTTCCATATGTTTATCCAGTTGCTCCAGAGCCTTTGGTTAAAAAAATTTTCCTCTCCTCATTGAATTGCATTGGCACGTCTGTCACAATTCAATTGACCATGTGTATGTGGATCTATCTCGAGACTGTGTTTTGTTCTATTTACTTGTCTATCCTTATGTCACTATCACATTGGCTTAATTACTGCTGTAGCTTTCTAGTAAATCCTGAAGTCAGGTAGAGTAAATTCTGATTTCAGGATTGTCTTTGCAATTAGGGGTCCTTTGTACTTCAACATAAATTTCAGAATTGGCTTGCCAATTTCTACGAAAAAACATGTTGAGATTTTGACTGGGATTGCATTGAATCTACAGATATTTTCAGGAAGCGACATTATAAGGTACTGAGCCTTCCAATCCATGAGTAATATGGTCTCTCCATTAATTTAAATGTTTTTAAAAAATTTTTCTACACTATTTTCTAGTTTCCAGTATAGCAGCCTTGTACATTTTTAATTAAATTTATTCATGGGTTTTTTATTTTATGATGCTATTGGATACAGTATTTTCAAATTTCATTTTCTACCTGATGATAGTAAATTATAATAAGCAGAAAAAGGCCATCTCCAAAGATGTCCGTGTCCTAATCCCTAGAACCTATCAATGTGTTACATTATATGGCAAGGGGAATTTAAAATTGCAGATGGAATTAAGGTTGCTAATCAAAGAACCTTAAAATAGAAAGATTATTTTGTATTTTCTGTGTGGGCCCAATGTAAGGATCCTTAAATGTGGAAGAAGGCAGAGTCAATGTCAGAGTGGCAGAGTCACACACTGTGAGAAGAACTGACTTTGAACATGAAAGGGGACCATGAGACAGTCTCCAGAAACTAGAAAAGGCAAAAAACAGGGCTTCTCTCCTAGAGTCTCCAGATATGAAGGCAGCCCTGCTAACACCTTGATTTTAGCCCAGCGAGAACCCTTTCAGACTTCTGATCTCATTAACTGTAAGATAGGGACCAGGCGCAGTGGCTCACGCCTGTAATCCCAGCACTTTGGGAGGCCGAGGCAGGCAGATCATTTGAGGTCAGGAGTTCAAGACCAGCCTGGCCAACATGGTGAAACCCCATCTCTACTAAAAATTACAAAAATTAGCCGGGATGGTGGTGCACACCTATAATCCCAGCTAATCAGGAGGCTGAGGCAGGAGAACCCAAGAGGCAGAGGTTGCAGTGAGCCGAGATTGTGCCACTACACTTCAGCCTGGGTGACAGAGTGAGACGCCATCTCAAATAAATAAATAAGTGTAAGATAGTAAGTTAGTGTTTTTAAAAGCCATTGAATTTGTGACAATTTGTCACAAATTGGAAACCGATACATATATAGAAGTATAATTGATTTTGTACATTGACCTTGTATTTGACGCCCTTGCTGAATTATTAGTTCTGGTAGTTTGTAAATCCTTTGAGTTTTCTCTGGATACAATGATGTCATCTGTGAATAAAGGCAGACTTACTTCTTTCTTTTCAATATTTATGCTTTTTGTTTAGTTTTCTTGCTTTATTCCACTGGTGAAAACTCTAGTATGTACAAAGTTGACTAAAAGTGGTAACAGCTGACATCCTTATCTTGCTCCTGATCATAAGAGGAATGCATTCTCTATTTCAGCTTTTAAGAATGATACTGGCTGTAGATTCCTATAGTTTCCTGTACTAAATTGAGTAAATTTCCCACTAATCCCTGGTTTTCTGAGGGTTTATCATGAACAGGCTTTTTTTAAAAACTTATTTAAAACATCTTTTCTTATACAATTATGCAATTATATAATTCATTTAAAACATCTTTTAGGCTGGGCGCAGTGGCTCAAGCCTGTAATCCCAGCACTTTGGGAGGCCGAGACGGGCGGATCACAAGGTCAGGAGATCGAGACCATCCTGGCTAACACGGTGAAACCCCGTCTCTACTAAAAAAAAAATACAAAAAACTAGCCGGGCGAGGTGGCGGGCATCTGTAGTCCCAGCTACTCGGGAGGCTGAGGCAGGAGAATGGCATAAACCCAGACGGCAGAGCTTGCAGTGAGCTGAGATCCGGCCACTGCACTCCAGCCTGGGCGACAGAGCAAGACTCTGTCTCAAAAAAAAAAAAAAACAAAAAAAAAACCACCATCTTTTATTATGTAATTATTATGTAATTTGACCATTATAGGAGTCAAAGGTGTTTGACTCCGAGATGTTTAGCATTTACATCTGCCTGGGCCCCCAAGAACAGTAAACTTTATGGTAACATCTTATTTAGCATTTCTCAGACTAGCCTGAGGACTCATCTAAGGTTAAGAATTATTGCTGGGCGCCGTGGCTCATGCCTGTAATCCCAGCACTTTGGGAGGCTGAGGCAGGCGGATCACAAGGTCAGGAGTTTGAGGCCAGCCTGGCCAACATGGTGAAACCCTGTCTCTACTAAAAATACAAAAATTAGCCAGGGTGGTAGCGAGCACCTGTAATCCCAGGTACTCGGGAGGCTGAGGTAGACGAATCGCTTGAACCCAGGAGGCAGAGCTTGCAGTAAGCAGAGATGGTGCCATTGTACTCCAGCCTGGGCGACGGCAAGACTCCGTCACAAAAAAAAAAAAAAAGATTTCTCAGGAGAAAGGTTTTTTTCCCTACACTGAAGCTGCCGAGCTTCCTAGTTGTCTCCCACTGCTGAAGGGTAAATTGGTTCTAATTACACCTTTACTAAGGGTGGGGGTCTCTGAAGGGTCCAGCTTTATGGTGAGGTCTCAGTTCCAACTCCTTGCCCAGTGGGCCCCATGACACTTCAACTCCTGTTTGTGAGACAATCAATGATTTCCCCAAGGAAAATGACGAATGAAGAATCAGTTAGTGACAATTCTGTTTTTTATTTTTCTTCTCTGTGTGTGTGTGTGTGTGTGTGTGTGTGTGTGTGTGTCTGTGTTAGGGTGGTGGTCCCTTGGGGATTTTTCTTCTACCAATCCTTGCCCCTCCACATACGCAGGTCAGTTACACAGTTCAAAGGATATCTGTTATATTTTGGCCAACAGTTTTAAGTGTGTTGTGTTAATAAGCTTTTCAAGAAATCTCATCTGTCATATTGCCTAAGATAGAAGTCCTATTACTATCTTGACCCAAAAAACAGCCCAGGAATATAAACTTTCCCCAAACCACTAAAATAATGCATTTAGAGAAGATAAGGCTACAAGACTTTTTAAAAAAATGATCTTATTGAGAAAATGATTCAAAAGTGGCTTGGTTGCTTGTATGGGCTACAAACAGAGAACTTTTATTTCTCGTTGGTGCCATTCATGGAGGGTAGCATGAATGGCACCAGTTGGTGTTGAGTCAAAAAGAGCATAGGATTGTGACATTGCCAGCTGCCTTCATTCCTGGCTCTATTCCTGGAGTCCTGCTCTGAGCTCCCTGGTACTACCCACCAGGTGGAGACAGTCATGCTGAAACCAGTTTGCCACACCAGCCTACCCATTGTGAGTAGACTTTGATCATCTAACCAGAGATCAGCTTCATTGCTTAGCTGGTTCCACTAACCCCAGTTTCATTCCTGCCTGATCCAATTCCTCATTTCCCCTTAGCCCTCTGAAGAGTTCCCAACATGCCTTGGAGCTGAGGTCTTGGCGACCATCACCTTGAGGAGATGAGGTCAATGGTTGGAACATGTAGTATTCTGACTTCTGGCCTTCTCTGGGCATGTTTTTGTGAGAGTACACAAAGTATATCCCGGCATGTTCTCTTAAGGCTGACATGAATGATCCTGTTCAAATAAATTCATACTCCTATTTCCCCTGGGTCATTTGAAAGAAACCGCAAAGTCCTAAGTCAATATATAGGAGACCTGTGTTTCCCTTTCCAACAACAAAAACAAAATTCATCGTTTCACAAATAAGTAGTCCACTATTTTTTTCCTTCATCCAACGTGGTCTGCTACACCCATGTCTAAACTATATTCACAGTGTAGACTGCTAAGAGTTTGTGCATTCTTCAGCAACCTGCAGTTCGTCCTTCCTTTCAAAGGAATCAGTTGGGTTCATGGGAAGGGACTATTTCAGTAGATGTTTGTTTTCTTTTTTCTTAATAATATTTTTATAAAATGATACGCAGGAAGCTGAGGCAGGAGGATCACTCAAGCCCAAGAGGTTGAAGCTTCAGTGAGCCGTGTTCATGCCACTGCACTCCAGCCTGGGCAACAGAATGAGACCCTGTCTCCAAAAAAAAAAGTTATATGTGTCCCAATCTGTGTGTTTAAAGAGTATTAATTTTTGAAATTTGAGAGTTTGGTCATGATTAGCATAGTAGTTGAGGTAGAGGAAAAAATAAATTCAAGACATATTCAGAAAGTTAGAGGAAGGAGGCTTTTATTGGATGTGGGATGTGAGGAAGATGGAGGAGCCAACAGTCGCAGTTTTTTAGCTGAGCATCTAGGTAGGTCGTTCAACAGTCATTCAATATGCATCAACTGTAGTCAGCTCTGTGCTGAGGACCGGGAATACGGAGAACAAGTCAGATTAGATCCCAGAGCAGCGGGGAAGACAGATGTTAAACAAACAGTCACATGAGTAATGAATTGTAGTAAAAAGGCGAAGTTCAAGGCACTCTGAAAGCAGATAAACTCACTTTTTGTTGGGAGAGGGAATTAAAGAAATAAGAGGCTGACCAGGTGCAGTGGTTCATGCCTGTAATCCCAGCACTTTGAGAGGCCAAGGCGGGAGATGGTTTGAGGCCGAGTTCCAGACAAGCCTGGGCAACACAGCAACATAACATAGAGACTCCTGTCTCTACACAAACCAAAAAAGAATTCGCTGAGCATGGTGGTACACACTGGTAATCCCACCTACTTGGGAAGCAGAGGCAGGAGAATCGCTTGAGCTCAGGAAGTCGACTGAGCCAAGATCACACCACTGCACTCCCTCCTGAACAACAAAGTGAGACCTTGTCTCAAAAAAAAAAGGAAAGAAAGAGAAATGAAAGTTCCACTCATGAATGAGAGCTGGGATTAAGAAGTAGGATGGAGGCTGGGCGCAGTGGCTCACGCCTGTAATCCCAGCACTTTGGGAGGCCGAGGCGGGCAGATCACGAGGTCAAGAGATCGAGACCATCCTGGTCAACATGGTGAAACCCCCTCTCTACTAAAAATACAGAAATTAGCTGGGCGTCGTGGCGTGCGCCTGGAGTCCCAGCTACTCTGGAGGCTGAGGCAGGAGAATCGCTTGAACCCAGGAGGCAGGGGCTGCAGTGAACTGCGATCACGCCACTGCACTCCAACCTGGCGACACAGTGAGACTCCGTCTCAAAAAAAAAAAAAAAAAGTGGATTGGGGTGAGGAGAGCGGATTTTACAGTAATTCATTTTCCCTCTTCGACTTTCATTTTTCCCATTCTTAAAATGGGGGAATTGGTCTGTGCCCTCTTAGAGGGCAGAGGTTTGTCTGATTCACCTGTGTCCCTTGGCCAGCAATGAGCTTGATGGGGGAAAAGACACTAATTAGCGTTGTTTTGAATGGATGGATAAACGGATGGATGGATGGATGGACGGGCAGGCGGGCTTCGCCAAATCAGGAAATCTGAAATTCTGAGGTTCAACTTCCCCAGGGGTCACGGAGCTCAGAATCCCACTGTTGTGTAAATTTCCCCCCAGCTGGCCGGGCTCGCTGGACTTGCGCAGCAGCTTGGGCGGCGCGGTGCGTGCCGGGAGTTGTAGTCTTTCCTCTAAGTTCGTCGACTTTTTTTCTTCCTTTTTCCGGCATTCGTCCGCGAGAACACCACCCCCTCCCCCCGCCCTACCCTGCTACCCATTCCGCGAGGAACACCCATCCCCAACCGATTTTGAATCCCTCTGCGGCTTTCCTCCCTTTTTCTAGGGACGATAAAAGCATCTGGGTCAGGTTGACTCCTACCTTGGGTCGCGACATAACGCGATTCCCCACGGGCCAGATCCAAACCGCCACAGCTCGCCGCGCGTGCTTGTGCGTCCCGTTGCCAAGGCGACAGAGAAGCGGCTGGATCCGCCGCTCTGATTGGACGAGCCAAAGGCACGCTCCCGGCGGAGTGCGCAGACTCCGATCCACCAGAGCCTCTGGAGGCTCTTGGGTGTCCCGGCAGCCTAGGTTCCCCGGCTTCCTCAACCTTTCTTTCCCAGGCCCGCCTCTCCGCGACCCTAGGGCAATTCGTTCTGAGGCTGGCTGCCTCTGCCCCCCGCCGCCTCCAACTGCACTTTCCTTAAACTAAGAGCGCTGCTTCTGAAAAGTTGTCAGCTTTTGGTAAATGTAATTTACCAGATGTAATTTACTGAGTTTCCTTACTTAAAGAAGTTACTCACTAAATCACCCGGTCACTTGGTCAGTCGGTAACGCGGCCAGTCACCTTTGCTATCCCAGCCGCTTTCTAATTCTTAAGGTCTATAGCCTCACCAACATTTGATGTTGTCCATCATTTTCATTTTAGTGACTACAGTGATAGCTCATTGTAGTTTGTTTGTTTGAGACAGAGTCTTGCTGTGTCGTCCAGGTTGGAGCGCAGTGGCACCATCTCGGCTCACTGCAGCCTCTGCCTCCTGAGCTCAAATGATCCTCCTGTGTCAGCCTCCCGAGTAGCTGGGATTACAGGTACATGCCACCACGCCTGGCTAATTTTTGTATTTTTAGTAGAGACAGGGTTTCACCATGTTGGCCAGGCTGGTCTCGAACTCCTGACCTCGTGATCACCTGCCTCGACCTCCTAAAGTGCTGGGATCACAGGCGTGAGCCACTGCACCCAGCCAGCTCATTTTGTTTTAAAAGTACTAAGGTTGGGTTGACTGGGAAGGAGATGAAGGAACTTTCTGGAGTGTTGGGGATTTCCATCTCTTAATAAAGATGTGGGTTATATTGAGTATACGCATTTGTCAAAATTGACTAAACTGAAAACTTAAGATCTATGCATTTCATTATTTGAATGCATATATAAGAAAGAGACACAGTTATCATTTGCAGATAACATGAGAGTTTAATTGTTCAGAATTCTTGGTTACAAAAAAACTATCTTTGATTAACCGAAATAGAAATGGAATTCATTGGTAGGATATTGAATGAGTCACAGAGTTGTTGGAAATCAGAATCAAAAAATGGGGAAGGAATTCAGGGAGTCTAGCTGATCAAAATTATGGTCAAAATCAGAGTTTGCAGAAACTTTGATTGGGGTGCCATTTCTGATTATTACTGGACATCAGACAGCACTACTGACATGACTGCTGCAAATAGCACTGGATGCTGTTGCTTTTACTAGCACCTCTGCTCCATAGATACCACTACTAGTACTGGAATTGGCCAAATGAATACTCAACAGACACCTGCTTTGTTGTACTATTTGTTTCAGATTTAAAGTCCACAAACTGCTTTAGCTGCCAGGGCTAAAGTACCTGACTCTTCTAGCTTCATACAGTAGTAGTGTGGAAGATGCTGCTAGTTGCCTACACAATATCCATTCTTCCCTTCTTCTGAAATAGATGTCCATCAGAACTGTCTGCATTTAAAAATCCAAAGAATGTACGGAGTATTAGAACAAATTAAAGGTTTAAAAAAAAAAAATCAACCCAAAAATGACATTTGAATTTCTATATACCAACCATAGCTGATTGGAAACTACAATAAAAATATATAGCAACAGAAATATAAGATATATGGAAACAGATCTCATAAAGTATATGAAAGATGTTAAACAACAAATTCTTATGAAGCATCTACTCTGTGTCCTGCTCTGTTCTTGACTCTGAAGATACAGCAGAGAGGAAAACTGACAGAGCATTTGCCCTAATGGAGTTTATATTCTCATAGAGAAAATTACAAAATATTATGAAAGGACATCAAATAAATGCAATGATATACATGTTCATGGATGGGAAGGCTCAATATCAGAAAGACGTGTATTTTCCCCAATCCAATCAGGATTTTTGAGGAATCTTGTCAAAATCAAAAGAACAATGTGTATATGTTGGGGCAAGGAGACACTTCTCTGCCTACCAAGCCAATGAGGAGTAGAGCTTCAAAACAGACACAGGAGGGAGAGTGTGTGTGTGTGCGCGCGTGTGTGTACTTGATGTACAATAGAGGTGGCATTATAAATCACTGGGGAAAAAATAGAGGACTCGGTAAATGGCACTGAGAAATTTACTTTCCATAGAGTTGAAAAATGGATGCCTAATTAAATGGATTAAATAAATATGATAACAAATATTTAAGACATATACATGTTATATTTATTATCTTGGGGTGGGAAAGGACTTCTTAGATAAACAATAATAAAACACTACTCATAAAGGAAAAAGATGATCTGTGACTACCTCAAAATTTAAACTGCCAGGCTGAGCGTGGTGGCTCACGCCTATAATCCCAGCAGTTTGGGAGGCCGAGGCAGGCAGATCATGAGCTCAAGAGATCGAGACCTGGCCAACACGGTGAAACCCTGTGTCTACTAAGAATACAAAAATTAGCTGGGTGTGGTGGCACATGCCTGTAATCCCAGCTACTCTGGAGGCTGAGGCAGGAGAATCACTTGAACCCTGGAGGCAGAGGTTGCAGTGAGCCGAAATCATGCCACTGCACAAAAGACATGGTAAATCCGATTAGCAGATAAGCTACAGACTGGGAGGAAACATCTAGAACATATATAACAAAGGATTGGTGCTCAAGGAATTCCTTCAAACCGTTAAGGAAAAGACATCCCCACCCTCACCCCTACAAAAGAAAAGAAAAATGGGCAAAGGATATAAATAGGGAATTTTCAGCAGAAGAAACTCAAATGGCCGGTAAGCCAATTGAGAAATGTAAATAAAAATAATTGTATGATTTGAAATACATCAACTATACAAAAATAAAATATGTCAATATTTTTTATGAGGTCAGATGTTAGTGAGGACGTGGGGAAACGGGAGCCTTTACATGCTATTCACACCTTGGAATGCAATTTGGCAGTATCTCATAAAGTTGTGGAACCTTACAACCCAGAGATTCCACTACTAGACAATATCCTATAGGCCCACTGAATAGCCTATAGATTCCACTACTAGACAATATCCTATAGGCCCACATCTCCATGGAATACCTTTCATCTTGTAGTTAATGTGCAAAGTGACAACCTTCCTAAAGAAATTTTTACACCACTACATAGGTCATATGTATAAGGATGTTTGCAATGTTCTTGATAACGCAGAAAATATTAGAAACAATCTAAATGTCCACTAGTAGGGTGATGGGTGAATAAAATGGGATAGATTCCTTTTTTTTTTTTTTTTTGAGACGGAGTTTTGCTCTTGTCACCCATGCTGGAGTGCAATGGTGTGCTCTTGGCTCACTGCAACCTCCACATCCCGGGTTCAAGTGATTCTCCTGCCTCAGCCTCCCTAGTAGCTACAATTACAGGGACCCACCACCACGCCCAGCTAATTTTTGTATTTCTAGTAGAGATGGTTTCGCCATGTTGGCGAGGCTGGTCGTGAACTCCTGACCTCAGGTAATCCACTGGTCTTGGCCTCCCAAAGTGCTAGGATTACAGGTGTGAGCCACCACAGCCGGTCAATATATTCTAATAATAAAATACCATACAGTGATAAGAATGATCCAGAGCTATATCGATATGTACATATTCCCAAGACCTATTGTTGAGTGAATAAAAGAAAGTTGTAGAATGAGAAATGTTTTTTAAAGGTTACAATTTGTGTTAATTATAAACACATATAAAGTGTATTTCATATTCTTTTGTATGTATAGATAGTAAGAGTTTAAAAACACAGACTCAAAAGATATGCACCATAGCCAATCCTTGTGAGTATAGTGGTGAGTATCCCCGCCTGTCAAAAGATATGCACTAAATTCATGATACTAGTTGGGGAGAGAGTGAAGGAAGTGGGGAGAGAAAAGGAAACTTAACTACTTCAAGTTTATTTAGGATGTTTTTGTTTTATTTAAACAACACAATTGAAGCAAATAGGTCAAAGTATCCTTACCTGGATTTAAGATTTTTTTTCCCAATGAAAAACAACACAGGCCATAGCAATAATATGATAGAGGAAGTTTAGCATGCTTTGGGAATGCATAATAGTGGTTTCTAAACTAGTCTAATAGGAGTCAGTAAAGACTTCCAGGAGGAAATGAGAGTTAGCTTGGTAAGGAGGATGGGAAGAGCATTCCAGGCAGAGAGAACAGCATATGCGAAGTTGGAAGTTAGAGAAAGCAAAGCACGACACAGATCAGTAACTAGGAAAGAGTGGAGTAGAGGGGAAGAGACAAGACTTCCACACCTGTTTGGTCTTGTTTCCTTTTTCACAGATGTGGAAACATAGCCCTAGTGAAGGGAGTAGAGACAAGGGTTCTTACTCTGTCAATTTTTCTGTGATAATAGTAATGCCAATGGTAATAATAATAATAATGTACTGTGTTCCAGTCTTTCTACTAGGTATTTGAAACATGTCCTCTCATTTAATATTACTACAGACCTACAGAGAGTTTTTTTTTTCCTCCCTATTTCATAGATGATGAAACTGAGGCCCAGAGAAGTTGAAAAAAAACTTGCTTAAAGTCAGTGGCAGAAACCACATCCCACAAGGCCTCCTTATGTGCCATGCTAAACAGGTTGGACATTTTCCTAAAGGTGTTGGTGAGTGTATGAATTTCCTGTTGCTGCTTGTAATCACAACATAGTGACTTAAAACAACACAGACGTAGTATCTTACAGTTCTTGAGGTCAGAGGTGTGAAATGGGTCTCACTGGGCTAAAATGAAGGTGTCGGCAAGGTTGAGTTTCTTTTGTAAGCTCTAGGATAATCTGTTTCCTTGCCTTTTCAACTTGCATCCCTTGGCTGTGGGCCCCCTTCGATCTGCAAACCCAGCAATTACACCACTCCAACTTCTGCTTCTGTCATCTCATGCCCTCTGATTCCTACTCTCCTGCCTCCCTCTTTCACTAATAATGACCCTTGTGATTATGTTGGGCCCCTCTGAGTAATCCAGCATAATCTCTCCATCTCAAGATCAGCTGATTCTGGCCAGGTGCGGTGGCTCACGCCTCTAATCCCAGCATTTTGGGGGGCCAAGGTGGGTGGATCACTTGAGGGCAGGAGTTCAGGACCAGTGAGGCCAACACGGTGAAACCCCATCTCTACTAAAAATACAAAAATTAGCCAGGCATGGTGGTGGGCACCTGTAATCCAAGCTACTCGTGAGGCTGAGGCAGGAGAATAGCTTGAACCCAGGAGGCAGAGGTTGCAGTGAGCCGAGATTAGCAACTAGAATTCCATCTGCAGCTTTAATTCCCCTTTGCCATGTAACATTACGTTCACAGTTTCAAGGAAACAGAGTGTAAACACCTTTGGGGGGGACCGTTATTTTGTCTACCACAGTAATCCACTAAAGAGCTTTAAGCAAGGGAATGACAGGGTGAGACCCATATTTTAGCATCTTCCTATTATTGGTTTTGTAAAATGGTCATTTCATGATTTAAGACAGGTTGGGCTTTGTATTAACTAATAATTCCAAAGGCTGAACAGTACATAGATATTAAATGTGTTAGATCTAATAACACATACGGGCTTTTAACTTAAAAGAATTATTTCCTACATGTAATTTGTGTCTTCCCCCTTAACACTCAGTGGGAGTACAAAGGACTGTTATAATTGCCCCTCTATGGGTAAATTAAGAGACATTGGCTCACCTGCCTAGGATCGCAGAGCTAAGGCCAGAGCCATGGTAAGGAGCTAGTCTTCAAGCTCGTTTATCAGTTTCCTTCCTTCCTTCCTTCCTTCCTTCCTTCCTTCCTTTCTTTCTTTCCTTCCCCTTCCTTCCTTCCTTTCTTGGTTTCTTTCTTTCTTTTTCTTTCTTTCTTTCTTTCCTTCTTTCTTTCTTTCTCTCTCTCTCTCTTTCCTTCCTCTTCCTTCCTTCCTTCCTTTCGTCTTTCTTTCTTTCTTTCTTCTCTCCTTTTTTTTTTTTTTTGACAGGGTCTCTTCTGTCATCCAGGCTGAAGTGCAGTGCTGTGATCATAGGTCACTGCAGCCTCAACCTCAAGCAATCCTCCCACCTCAGCCTCCCAGGTAACTGGGACCACAGGTTCGTGCCACCACACTCAGCTAATTTTTTGTTTTAGTTTGCTTGTTCGTGGAGACAAAATTTCGCCATGTTGCCCAGGCTGGTCTCCAACTCCTGGGCTCAAGCGATTTTCCCACTTCAGCCTCCCAAAGTGCTGGGATTACAGTCTTGAGCCACCACGCCCAGCATCAGCATTTCCTTACACCATCCATGGGTCGGGCATTTGGGGAAACTTAAGTCAGCACATCTTTGACACAATTTTCTACATATAGCTCAGTGCCCAATAAACATGTGTTGAATTGGTGAAGACCCCTGCTTTCATTTCTGTGACACAGATAGTAACTTTCAAGGCAGGAAGCCTTGGGGCCATCCTAATATTCCTTCCTTCCCCCTACATCCAATCAATCTGCAAGTCCTTTCAGCTGCCCTGCCAAAATATTCATATATGCTGCGTCCATCCCCTTCTTTCCAGCTTCTCGGGTCCCACTCTGTCCCAGGGCACTGTCACCTCTTACTTGAGCTGCTGCAGTGGCCCCCACAAAGGAAAGGGTCAGTGAGGGGTCAAAGTATTTGACTTAAATAAATCAGATGACCTGGCCTCCCAGATTAAATTTTCCTGTTGGGTTTTTATCAGACAGAAGAGAAGAAAAACTGGCCAGGCCCGGTGGCTCACACCCATAATCCCAGCACTTTGGGAGGCCGAGGCGGGCAGATCACCTGAGGTCAGGAGTTTGAGACCAGCCTCAACATGGAGAAACCCCATCCTACTAAAAATACAAAATTAGCTGGGCGTGGTGGTACACACCTGTAATCCCAGCTACTTGGGAGGCTGAGGCAGGAGAATTGCTTGAACCCAGGAGGTGGAGGTTGCAGTGAGCCAAGATCGCGCCATCGCACTCCAGTCTGGGCAACAAGAGCGAAACTCCGTCTTTAAAAAAAAAAAAAAAGAAGAAGAAGAAGATAAGAAAAATTTTAACTCCCAATCATGGCCATATGTGGTTCTGCATGCTCTGGCCCCCAACCGTCCTCTTAACACCTCCTGTAGCTCCCTCTACTGCAGTCCCACTGGCTTTTTACAGAGGCCAAGCTATTCCCATCATAGGGCTTTTGCCCATGCTGTTCCTTCTGCTGGAAATACTCTCTCCACTCTTTTTCTTTTTTGTGTGCGTAATTTTTTACTTTTTGAGACAAGGTCTCGCTCTGTCACCCATTCTTGAGTGCAGTGGTGTGATCATGGCTTGCTGCAATCTCGACTGCCTGGGCTCAAGTGATCCTCCCACTTCAGCTTCCTGAGTAGCTGGGACTGCAGGTCCCGGCTAATTTTTTTGTTTTTGTTTTGTAAAAACAGGCTCTCCCTGTGTTTCCCAGGCTGGTCTCAAACTCCTGGGCTCACACAGTCCTCCTGCCTTGGCCTCCCAAAGTTCTGGGATTACAGATGTGAGCCATCATACCCAGGCAAATTTCTTTTAGAGGTGCAGTTTTAGTATGTTGCTTAAGCTGGTCTCAAACTCCTGGGCTCAAGTGATCCTCCCGCCTCAGCATCCCCATGTGTTGGGATTACAGGCATGAGCCACCACACCTGGCTTTCTGCTCTTTAAACAGCTGGGTTCTTCTTATACGTCACCTCTCAGCTCAAATGCCACTTATTCAGAGAGGTTCTCCATGTCCGCTTTGTTTCCTTCATAGAAAACTGGGACCATTTGTAAATAATTTGTCTCTTTGCTTACTTTGTTTGCCTTCCCTTCTAGATCTGAGATGTCTAATATGTAGCTACTAGCTGCATATGACTAGTAAGCATTTGGAATGTGACTTGTCTGAATTGAGACTTGCTGTAAATGTAAAAGACAGCAGATTTTGAATAGTTAATACAATTTAAAAAGGATATAAAATATCTCATTTATAGTTTTAGAATACTGACTATATGTTGAAATGGTATTTTGGATATATTGGGTTAAATAAAAATATTATCAACAATTAACTTGTTTCTGCTTTTTAAATGTGGCTGTACATGTGGCTGGCATTATAGTTCATTTGGACAATGCTGGTCTAGACCGTTAGCTAATGAAGGTAGGAACAATCTCTACCCACTGCTGTGTCCCTAGTCTCTATCATATACTAGATGCTCAGTAAGTATTTACTGAATAATTTGGTATTTATGAGAACTCTGGGCTTTTATGAGAGCTGAGACAGGCAGTCCCATGTATGCTATGAACTTGAGGGAGGAAGAAACAGGAAAGAAAGTTTTATTTTTCTCCAATCACTGTATTTCAAAGGGCTCTGTGGATTCTCTCTGTCCTGCTCTCTATCCACAATCCCCAGTCACCTACTACTACAGATTGAGGGGTGGGGGTGATGGCTGGAGGAACAAAGCTGGTGCAGCTGCTTCTATTTCAGTCCTATAGGAAGTGTCTTGATTATTTTACTTTCTCCAGCTTTGGTCCTGGGAGCCGGAAAGGCTCACCTCAGCATCCTCAGATACACAGATAGGGTTAGCTGGGGCTCATGGGGACGTTCCCAGGGTCATCTAGCAGGTCAGAGGTGAACAGGGCCTCAAACCTTGGTCTCCAGACCCCTTCCAGGACCCTGACCTCTAGCTATTCATACATCCTGATGTAGTCTCCTTTAGACTGGAACCCTCCCTGAAACCCCTCTCCCAACATTCACCTGTGATTTCTTGGGGCATCTAATGGCAGTTGTGCCTGGTCCCAGAGCTTACCTAGATGGCACCATCCCTCCCAGGGGCCGAAATGGGTGGAAGGAAGGAAGGAGAGGGTGGATGTATGGATGGGAAGATGGACGGGTGAATGAGTGAACAAGAGGGTGGGAGAATGGATGGGAAAGGAGGAAGGCTGGTTGGTAGGGTGTCTGCACGGGTGGAGGGGATGTATCGGAAGGAATTACCCACTTATCACGTTCCAAGCAGACTCTGAAGAGCAGAGAGCCGTTGGCGATCAAAGTCCAGCCCCGTCACGTTTCTGCTGGAAGCCGAGGCGGGAGAAGTTGGGTGCTTTGCCCCGGGGCCCGCAGGGAGGTCCAGGCAGAGCCGGAAGGGGGACGGGAGTTTGTGGACCGGCCGGGGGGCTCTAGGCGACATCCCCCCATCAGCCCGCGCCTGCCGGTGCCAGGGTGGGGTAGCGCCCCCGCCCCCACCTCCGGAGGTGGCGGCCCCACGCGGCCCCAACAAACTGCCGTTGTCCCGCGGGCCGTGGGCCCGGCACACTGGGGCTTTGTCCGGCCCCCCGCCGAGACCCGAGGGGGGGCCCCACATGACCGAAGGGGTAGGAGGAGCCTGTGGCGGCGGCGGCGGCAGCGGCGGCTCCACCACCATTTCCCTCCCGGGCCGGGGGTCGGCGGGCGGTGGCAGTGGCTGGGCAGGGCTGGGCAGGGCCGCGGACGCCAGGCCCCCCGTTCCCCGCCAGGCTGCAGGCCCCGGGCCTGGGACGTCAGGGCAGCTGTGACCGGATCGCTTTCCGGGCGACGAGCTGGGGGTGCGCTCGGACCGCCGCCCCCGGGATCATGGGCAATGGCATGACCAAGGTAGGGGGCGGGCCCCGCGCAGCCTCCCCGGCCCCCGCCCCGGCCGCTGCGGCCCGGCGCTGACCAGCTCCGTCCGCCCGCCTCTGACCTTCTGGTCTCGCCGGTCTCTGTGCGGCGGCATCTCCGTGTTCCTGTGACTCGAGACCGCGGCTGTCGGGTCTCTCCTTCTCTGACCCTGCGTCTCTGTCCCCGCTGTGTCCGCCCTCTCTCCTAGACTCTGTGTCTCTCGCTGTGTCTTGTTTTGGCTGTCACTCCCGGGCTGTCTCCCAGTGAGTCCGGCTCTCCGTCTGCATGTGTCCCTCTCCCTTGTCGCTGACTCCCCTGCTGTCTCCGGGGCTGTTTCTCCATCCTGTCCCGCCTCTGCATGTCCCTGCCTTTCTGCCTCCCCAGCCCCAAAATTTCCATCCCGGCACCCTGCAAGTCCACCTCTCTCCTCTCCTCCTAAGACCTGCCTTCCTCCTCTCCCCTCTTATACCCAAGCTGGCCTCCCTTGGTTCCCTCGGTTGGTTAACTGGCCCCCTCGCCTACCCTCCCCAGAGCCCCAGACCCCTCTCACAGAGGACCCAGGGCCCACAAAAGGGAAGCGAGTGCTCCCTGAGCCCTGAGGTTCATACCCTTCATAGGACAGTGAGGGGCTGTGGGCCCCCCAGCTGCCCTGGGGGTGGAAGGGGGTGCCTCTGCCCCACTGACCCCTGCCTGTCCTTCCTCTAGGTACTTCCCGGACTCTACCTCGGAAACTTCATTGGTGAGCACTGCCCACTCTGTCCCGAGGCCATGGCACTCTGCCTGTCTCAGGCCTGTGGCCACCATTCATGCCCTGGCCCATGTATCTCAGGAATGGGGTTGGGGGTAGGGAAGCGGCTGCAGGCTGGGAGGAGGAAAAAGCTGATGAAGGACAAGGGGTGCATGTGCAGGTGAATGTCCCCAGGCTCGAAGAGACATGGAGGGAGCATGGGGACCTGATGTTGACATCCCTCCCCGCCATTCAGCCTTACCCAGTGTTCTACCACAAGACCAAAGGAACAGAGCAAAGGGCTCGGGGCCTGGGCTGTGGACCTGAGCAAGTCTACACCCGCACTAAGCCTCAGCCTCCTCCTCAGCACAAAAGGTCTACCAGCCGCTGAGGGCTCTTCTGACCCTGAGGTTCTGGGTTGAAGTCTGTTTAGGGGTGCTGCTTCCAGCGGGGAAGCTGGGAACTCTTCCCCTCTTAACTTCCTCCTTGTCAGAGGAGAGGTCTCTGGAGACGGGCTGGGCCCTCTTGTGAGCAGGGTCATGAGCACCAATCCCGTCACACCCCAGAGCCCTGAAGCAGGTGGGCAGCCTGGAGCTGGAAGTTGGCGGGGGTGAACTGGCAAGCTTTACATTCCCCACTCTCTCATCCATTCCTTCCACAATCTTCAGTCAGGAGGAGGGGACACCCATGTATAGATACGTTGTTCCTCAGTGGCTTCCAGGCTAGTGGCTGGCAGGCACAGCTGAACATAGACCTTGGGTAGAAAACATGCTTGGTAGAAAACATGCTAAGGGGGCCGGGCACAGTGGCTCGCACCTTTAATCCCAGCACTTTGGGAGGCGGAGGCGGGCAGACCACCTGAGGTCAGGAGTTTGAGACCAGCTTGGCCAACATGGTGAAACCCCGTCTCTACTAAAAATACAAAAATCAGCCAGGCATGGTGGTGGGCACCTGTAATCCCAGCTACTCGGGAGGCTGAGGCAGGAGAATCGTTTGAACCCAGGAGGCGGGGGTTGCAGTGAGCCGAGATCGTGCCACTGCACTCCAGCCTGGGCGACAGAGCGAGACTCTGTCTCAAAAAAAAAAAGAAAAAAGAAAAAGAAAACATGCTAAGGGGCAGACTGGTCCAGGGCTTGGGTGACCCAAGGTGAGAAAATCATTTCCATCTGCAGAGTCAGAGAAAGCTTCAGAGAGGGAGGGGCTCAGGTGCTTTACCCTCGTAAATTCTGGTCCCTTTCTTCCTGGGAGCTCCCTCAGCTGCTCATGCCACATTGATTTCTGTGAGTATTTGGCCAAGTAAGGTCTGAATCCTCTGTAAGTGTGCAGGCCCCATAAGGGCAGGAGCTACGAAGCTGGCCCCAGACCTCCAGTGCCCAGCCAAAGTATACAAATGATTAGCACTCGGTAAATGCTCATCAAATGAGGAAATGGAGACAGAGGGGACATGTGTTATTTATTCTGAATATAAAAGGTCTGCATATGCTGGGTATGCAGCCCCTAGAGAGAGCCACTGTCGGGTACATCCCTTGTTCATATATCTTTGTAGATAAAGACATAATATTTAAAATAAAAGTGGAAGCTTATTCTGTATCCTTAAAAATACATTGTGGGCATCATTGCACATCAACATCTATAACTCTTTTTAATGGCTGCATGCTGTGCCAAAGTATGCCTACACCATTAATCATATAGTCCCTTTTTAATGAACACTAGGTTGTTCCCATGTTTAAACTATTTGTGATATAAGCAGGACTGCAGAGAACATCATCCTCCACACACGGCTTTCTGTGTGAGCAAGTGCTTCCATAGACAAGATTCCTAGAAGTAGAATTGCTGGGTCAGAGAATATGCCTGGGAAGGGTATTTTGGATGAAAGAACAGCATGAGCAAGGATGGGGAGATGCTGGACTGTTATTTGCATGTGCCTCAGAAGCAAGAGGATCAGGGAGCCGGCAGAGGGTAGGCCAAAGTGGAGTGGTGGGGTGAGGGGGAGAGCTGGGCAGGCAGTGAGCTCCCTCCACACTTGGCCATCAGGGACAAATAAGTCATGCCAGCCAGATTGGCTCAAGCATCCTGTTTCTTTCAGATGCCAAAGACCTGGATCAGCTGGGCCGGAATAAGATCACACACATCATCTCTATCCATGAGTCACCCCAGCCTCTGCTGCAGGTACTTCTTACCCCCATCCCAGGGCTATGCAGGGTGGGAGGGTGCAGACCCGTTTATCAAATATCTACTATGTGCTAGGTGCTATGCTTCCTTCTTGACTCATGTTAACTCATTTGGTCTCCACCACTGGGCCATTTTACATTATCATCCCTATTTGGCAGCTGACGCCCCGAGAGGTCAATTAACTCACCTAAGGTCACCTATCCAGGAAGCTGAGGAGTTGGGGTACAAACACAGGCCATCGAGCACCAAAGTCTCACACTGAACCTTAAAATGGCCCCCATATGGGCTTCCCATGGCCCAACTGGATGGATGAATCCAAACAGATGACTCTGGGCTCTGTGTCTTGCTATGCAACCTTGGACTGTGACTTCACCTCTCTAGGGCTTCGATCCCTCAGCTCTGTCTGCCCCCAGGGGGCTGTCGTGAGGATGCACAGGGACTGCAAGATGGTGAAGTTGCTTTGCACACTGTAAAGTGTGGTCCCCTCTAGAGCGGTTGGTGCTGGTATTATCAACTCCTGGGAAAGGGGCATGAGGGTGTTAGGACCCAGCAGAGGAAAGTAATAAATCCAGACTACACGTGCTTATGTCAGGAACATCTTCACCGTTTATTTGTTTTATGACCTTGCAGACAGGACTTTGCCCCCTCTGAGCCTCAGTTGTCTGATCTGTAAAATGGGAACTTTGTAACAGTACCCACTTCACTGAGTGGTTGGGAACTACATAAATAGGTACCCAAAAAATCACAACTGATACTATAACAAAGTTAATCATATTCTTATCCCATGAACAGAGCTTCTTCTCCCTTATCTATTAGAGTCTGTATCATCCACTGGAGAGAAAGAACCATGGGTGGGAAAAGGTCCTGGAGATCTGAAACGAAGATCCGGTTCTGCCATAGACTTGCCGTGTGACCTTGGCCAAGGTCCTTCCCTTCTCTAGGCCTCAGTTTTCCCATATGTCAGATTTGATATTCTCTAACAGCAACCTCCAATAATCTACGATTTTCAATGTCATTCAGAGAAGAAATTTCCAGGCCATTGGAGTCTTATTTTGCCTCCTAGGGCAGCCTCGTTTGGGAGTATTTGGAGTAAACAGTCACTAGATTGCATGGGGAAGGTTGTCAAGTCATGAGTGTATTTACTAATGAAATGACAGTCTACACAGTGAGTCTCTGCTCCTACGGCCCTTCCTGCTTCTCCCAAGCATCTCTCCTCCCTCCCGCTCCATCAGCGAATTTACCAGGCAAGGTTTGATAGCACCACACAAACCCAAGGCCAAATGTGTTGCAAAGTGAAATTGCAAACTTTGCCAAAGATGCAGGATGTCATGACCTTGGGGAATGTGAGTGAGAGAAGGGCTGGAATCTCACACAAAGCCATGGATAAATGAGAACCTGGCTGGTGGTCCCTTAGTTACTGCCAGTGGTGGGCCTGGCCCCTGAAAAGAGCCATTTGAACATCAAAATGTTAAGATGGTTTCTTGAGAAAAGCAAGGAGGTCCTCAGGAGGCGGGCAAAAATAATCTTCATGATATTGTATGGCTAATCAGGAAATAAAGGACATCACAGCAAGTTTGTTGGAAAAAAGTCCTGACAATTTATTCCTTGATTATTCTCACAATTAGCACATCATTTTATAACCAGGATTCATGAAATGTATACTTGTTTTCATGATTTTTGTTTCTCTTCAAGATAATCAAATCTGCTTTACCTTTTTTACGAAGTAATTTTGTAATTTGCATTTGGAGTGGAGTCCCTTTAAGTAGCCCTTTCCTGGTGATTTGATAAAGGTTCCTGGGTCCCTGTTGGGAGGGATAGAAGACCTCATGCCCAAGTCGCTGATGGGGTTAGGAGACACCATCTGCTTAGAAGGTTCAGGAATCACAAGTGGTCACAGCTGGGAGGCCTCAGAGATGACTACTTTCTTTGGACAGAGAGGACCACAGTGGGCCAGAGAGGGGCAGGAACTGGGCTGGGGTCATGCCCTGCCTGGGCAGCTCAGACCAGCGTCAGGGAGGGTTGCAAGCAAGGTCCCCTGCCTGAGTGTATTTTGTACTTGTAGGATATCACCTACCTTCGCATCCCGGTGGCTGATACCCCTGAGGTACCCATGTAAGTTCCCCTGGATGGACCCACAGATGGACAGACAGCCGCCTCCTGTGGTGGGCGAAGGGGAGGGGGTTTGAAGGAGGACAAAGTACTCAGGCCAGAAAGTTATCACAGATGGTCAGCTCAACCAGTTCCAGGTTTGACTCTGTCTCAATCATGCCCTTGTGATATGCCCTTGGTCAAGACTCTCGACCTCCCCGAGCCTCAGTCTCATCAGTATGAAATGGGAAAAAGACACTCTGTACCTTGGGACCAGCTACACCAGCTGATTTGAAAGGGTCACGTTCAGTCTGTTCCTGGCCTTGGGGTTAAGACATCTGGGTTCCAGCCAGGCTTTGCCATTTACTTGCTGTGTGACCTTGAACAAATCACTTCCCCTCTCTGAGCCTCACCTGTAAATCCAGAGTGCATGATCAGAGTCAAGGAGGCTTTCAAAGATCAGATGACAGAGGTCAAGGATCTAGCATAGGGCCTGAAGTATAACCAAGCTCAGAAAATGGGATTTTTGTTTGTAACATCAGTAGTCATGCGTCCCCGCTTGGGATGGAGCCAGGCAGACAGTCCTGCCCCTTGGGAATCTTGCTCCCAGCCCGCTGCTGCCCGTCATTGTGCCCAGGTGCTCTGATTGCAGACCCCAGAGGAGTGGGACCCTTGTATTTCCTCCCACCCATTTCTTTGAAAGGCCACAATAAACCCATCATGATAACAGGGTCCACAGGAGGAGTACTCCTGCCTAGATGGTGAGATTGGCCCTGACTGGCCTCTCTCACTGCCTGAAATGCCACCATTCTTGCTTCACACACACACACCTCCAGCTCATGCTAAGTACTGGCCCCTATTCACTGCATGTGCTGGCTGACCTGGGGAACCCAGTGCTCTGTGTCCCTTGCTATCCTGTAATTGGGGTGGGGGTGGAACAACTCCTGAGAGATCTGCTCCACAGTGCTCCCTACCCTATTGCTTTCTCCTCTAGCAAAAAGCACTTCAAAGAATGTATCAACTTCATCCACTGCTGCCGCCTTAATGGGGGGAACTGCCTTGTGCACTGGTGAGTCAAGGTTGGGGGGTAAGGTGGGGGAGGAAGGAAGTGGCTGTGCCCTCTGTTGAACACATACTCATCCTATGGGAAGGTTGAACCTGTGAAGGATCTTCTCCAGCCTGTCACAGTGCCTGAGGGCCCACCATTCACTGGAGAGCAGCCAACCCGGGGCTCTATTCCTTATGAGCTGTGTGGCCATAGCCAAGTAGCTGTTTCTTTCGGAGACTCAATGTCCTCATCTGTAAAGTGGGGAAAAGAAAGAAAGCTGACCTGATGGGACTGTTGGGAGGAATAGTGAGGTCATGCAAGTAGTTCACCCTCCAGTAGTTCTGGGCCTCTCTCCTCCCCTCCAGGCCTTGGAGGTGATGGTGCAGGGCAGTGAGGAACCCCAAGCTGGGAGACAGGAATTCTGGGTCTTCCCAGGTGCCCCTCGCTCAGTTGATGTCATTCATTCCTTAACTTCTCGCTGAGCGCCCATCCTATCCAGGCTCAGGCTGGCTCTGCTGGAGGCCCAGCAACGAGGCTGGTTTCCCAAGTCTCATCTCCCACCCTCTCCCTCCTTCCCCTTTCCAGCTGTACTAACCTCCTCCCCATCTTCCAAATCTACAAGGCTTATGCCTCATGGTCTTTGTACACACTGCCCACAAGGTTCCTGAGTAACCCTTATCCATCTTTCAAACTTCATTGATGTCTATTCCTTGGGAACCCCTTCCCTAACCCCACTCCACCTATAGATTAATACCTCTTCCTATGTGGATCTCCTAGCCCCCAGACTCATCCTCAAAGCTATTATCACCACCTGAAATTGATTCTCTGATCAATGTCTGTCCCCCCAGCCATACTGTAAGCTCCAGGACAGCAAAGACCACGTCTGTTTTATACCCGCTACATTCCCAGTGCCTGACAAAGAACAGATGCTCAGGACATATTTGTTGACTGAATGAATGGTGTTTCACTCAGGCCTTTGATGTGGGAGAACCCAGGGGGTGCTCTAGGCAGAGGGAACAGCATGGCAAAGGCCTGGAGGTGGGATGGCAAGTCCTGACAGGTCCCTTATGGTTGGAGCTCAGGAGGCAAGGGTGGGAGAGCTGAAGCAGGGTGGGGTGTGTGGGGGGCATGGAGGACACTGGATCTTACTTGAAGCCTGAGGGGTTGTCGGGGATCCCAGCTTTGCAGGCATCTCTCGCAGCACCACGATTGTGACGGCGTATGTGATGACTGTGACGGGGCTAGGCTGGCGGGACGTGCTTGAAGCCATCAAGGCCACCCGGCCCATCGCCAACCCCAACCCAGGCTTTAGGCAGCAGCTTGAAGAGTTTGGCTGGGGCAGTTCCCAGAAGGTAGGGATGGATGGGGTCAAGGGCTGGGTTGGGCCATGGGTGGGAGATCCTTCTTCCCACTCAAACTGATCACTGATTGGAACAAATTTAGCCTGTGCCTCAGACCCGGATTTTTCTAGGGTCTCAAACTCATGGCCTTTGAGCTAATCCAGCTCCTAGGTGTATTTTGTCAGACAGCCAGGTGTTTTCTTTTTCAGTTTAGAATTTGAATGCCTTTAGATCAGTGCGGGCCCTCCCATTTGACTAGGTCTTCCAGCACTTCCCACTGCCTGCCCTACCTGGCTGGAACCTGAAGGATTTGAGTGTTTGACCCCATCGGGGAGAACTGTCTATGTCCTACTCCACCCCTGTGTCCTTGATGAGACCACAGCAGTTTCCCTTTTATACCTCTTGGGCAGATGCCACGTAGAAATGTCAGGAACTAAGCTTCCCTGGGAACAAAGGATGAGAGGGGGAGGGCTCTCAGCAGGTTGAGGGCGGTACCCAGAGGCTTATCTGCAGGACGGCGTTGGGAAAGAGTCGGGCAAGGAAGAAACCTGTGGGAATGGGGTTGTGAGCACAGAGGTGCAAAGCGGGAGGAGTTACCCAGAAGTGCAAAGAGGGAGGAGTGATCCCGGCTGGGCGCCTGGGGTCAATTTAGCAGGTCTGGAAACGGGAGTGTCAAAGGCGGAAGAGGGGTCAGGGAGAGGGAAGGGCCTCCTAGAAGGGAAGAGGAACTCAGTGACGGGATGGAAACCCGGGAGACAGGAGGCAAAGAAGACGCTCAGGAAGGGAGGGGCTCAGCGAGGTATGGGACGCTCGGAGAAGGGCGAAGGTCGGGAGGGTGGGGGCGGGGCCGGCTGCCTTGACCCCGTCCCGCGGCCGGCCTTGACCCCGCCCACCTCACCCGCCCACCCAAGCTTCGCCGGCAACTGGAGGAGCGCTTCGGCGAGAGCCCCTTCCGCGACGAGGAGGAGTTGCGCGCGCTGCTGCCGCTATGCAAGCGCTGCCGGCAGGGCTCTGCGACCTCGGCCTCCTCCACTGGGCCGCACTCCGCAGCTTCCGAGGGAACCCTGCAGCGCCTGGTGCCGCGCACGCCCCGGGAAGCCCACCGGCCGCTGCCGCTGCTGGCGCGCGTCAAGCAGACTTTCTCGTGCCTCCCTCGGTGTCTGTCCCGCAAGGGCGGCAAGTGAGGATGCAGTCCCGCCGTGGCTCCCCACTTCCTCCCAACTGGCTGCCTTCGGGGGCTGTCGGCGCCTTCCACGCCCCCCAGGATGGGCCCAGAGGCTGGGGGAGCCCCGCGGCGGCCTGAACCCTGCCTCCCTCGCCCGCCCTGCTCATCCGCGTCTGCAGTCAGCATCCCCAACCTGTGCGTCTCTGTGTCCGGGCCGGCCGGCTGCAGCCACCTGGTGCCTTAGTCCGTGGGCTGGGGGAGGGGGCCCACCCTTAAAGGCGGCGGGAGGGGAGGGAGGGGGAGTGGAGGGTTGGACGGGCCTGGAGGATATTAAAGAGACACAGAAGAAGCTGCCTGTCCGAGTGCCTCCCAGTCATTCAACAAAGGCGGGGCAGCACCAGCGGGACTCTGCCAGGGGCCAGCAGCCTGCAGGAAAGGGGATGGGAGGGAGCCTGCATCCCCTGGGGGCCTGAGGAGCCCACCACCCTCCCGCAACTGCAGTCTGCAGAGTTGCCTCCTGGGACCGCACCTCCTTCTCTAACACCTCCCCTCTCCCACCCAACATACATCTCTCCCAAAGCCACCGTGTCCCGCCTGACAAGGCCCGAGTTCCTCCTTATCTCGGAACCTCCTGCCACCTTTTGAATCCCTCTCCTCCACCCTGAGTGGCCCCTCCGCTCCCCGACTCCCTTCCCACCCCTGTGCACAAATACTAGCTAGGAAGATAAGGTAGTGCCTCCCTCATCCTGACCTTTTACTGCATGAGTTTACTTAATCCTCAGGGAGGAAACAGAGGCTCAGAGAGATCAGGCAGCTTGCCCGAGCACACACAGCCAGAGCAGGGGAAGCTGGACGCTAGCTTAGTCAGTCTGAGTCCCACGATGGCAGGTAGTTAGGAAGTAGCTCCTCTGGTTTGGGAGGTTCCTGACAAGGAGGCTCCACCCCCAGTCAGTGGGAATGACCCTTCCTGCCAAGATTTTAAAGGCCAGGGCTGCCCATCAAAGCAGTAGCTGGCTCTGAGGATGAGTAGAAGTCACTGCAGCTGATATTTCCAAAACTATACCCAAAGTTGAGAGGGATTGAAAATAGCTATAACCCAATAGCCCCTTGTATGGGATTCTTAATATGCACAAACCACTGTGCTCAGGGCTGCCGGGGAGGCACCGATTCCAGCACTGGAGTTGGGGGATGGACAAAATAACCTTCAGCTGCCACCCCAACTTCCTACTCCTCATTCATGCAACAAATGTCCATTGAGTACCTACTGTGTGCCAGCCATTGTGTTCGGCCCTCGGTATATAGCAATGAGCAAAACCTCTGCTTTCAGGTAGCTGCCATTCCGGTCGGGAAGATACCAGATAAAAAATACGCCGGGTGGTGAGGGAGTGGACCATTTGGTTATCTGGGGGAAGCATTCCAGGCAGGCAGAACATTAAGGGAAAGGCCATGAGTTCGTAACCTCCTTGCCAGTAGCCTCCAAAACCAGAAGGAGTTACTTCCTAACTACCTACCGTCATGAGTTAGGGTCTTTCCCTTCACAGTTAATGTGAAGAGCAAAGTGGCTGGACTTACCAGAGTGCAGGGAGCCCGCAGTCCTCCAGGCTGGTTAGTTTAAATGGCAACCAGATGCCCCATTTAAAACACCTTCTATCTCTGATGGTGTCTTCCCCTATTTAAAAGTTTCCATGGAGGCGGAGGCTGCAGTGAGCCAAGATCGCACCACTGCACTCCAGCCTGGGCGACAGAGCGAGACCCTGTTTGGAAAAAAAAAAAAAAGAAGCCTCCATGGCCCCCATCATCTATAGGACTGATCTGATGTTCCACATCAATCCTTCCAGATGCTTCAAGAGCCAGGCGGCTACTGGAATATGGGGCTAGAGGAAAGGAGGAGCACGAAGAAAGCCCTCCTAGCAGGTACACATCAGGAACAATGCTTCCAGTCTCTGGTCAATGCTGGCCAGGTGCCCAGCTCTGTGCCCACTGCTGTGCAGAGGTGCAGGGAGTCGGGGGCGTTCTCTCTCAGAGCCTCAGTTCCATGAATACAGCAAGGAATGGAGCAATCTGAGCAACTTGATCTCTTTCATATCCCACATCTCCTTTGACAATTTAATGAAAGATGCAAACCCCAGAAAAAAATGCATAGACATGAAATTTACATTCACTTTTGGGGGTCAGAGACCCCCACCAAGAATCCACGAAGTGCAGGTGTAACTGTCGGCAGGCAGTGTGGGGCACACATTTTGGCTCCTGGCTGCACTACCCACTAGTCCTGTGACCTTGTTAGAGGGTTTAACCTCTCTGAGCTCAGTCTTAACATTAAAACAGGGCATTATACCAACCTCATAAGCTGTTGTGAGAACCAATTGAGACACTGCAGGAAAGTGTTTAGCCAGGCCCAGCACTGTGATGAGCAATCAGTCAGTGGGAACTCCTAATATTTACGGAAATAAGTGTGACCCCCGGACCACCTGCATCAGAACCTCATGGGGGAACTCATTACATTGTGGGTTTCCTGGGCTTCCTGCCCAGAAAGTCTGATTCTGCTGGTCTGGGATGGAGGTCATGAGTGTGCATTTGAAACAAGTTGCTGCCTCTCAGTTCTGGCAGGCGTTAGTTTGAGAAGCCCTTGCCTTTCCAACCTCGACAGTCCAGGTCCTGGAAAGAGACTGACAAGTTTGCAGGTGGGCTGGGAAGAGCAGGTGACAGTTGTAGGGTGGGGCAAAGCTGTGTCTCTGGAAGCTAGTGGGGGCCCGCCTCCTGAGACCTGCAGAGCCCAGGCTACCCAACTTGGGTGGGTCTTGTGACCCACAGCGCCTCCTGCAGCCCCATAAAAGAGGATCAACGCCCTCCAGGCTAGGCTGCTATGGGGAGGGGCAAAAGGAAAGGGCCTCCCAGGAGAGGGGACAAAAGACAAAGTGAAACCTGCCCACCCAGACTTTCACTTTCATAGCCTCCAAGCATCATCCAGGTGGCCCGTAGTCCCCAGGCCCACGTGGATCCAGCCACTGCGAGCCCAAGACTGGCCCCCTGAGCACTGCATCCCTGATGGCCAGAAGGAAGGAAAGGTCCCTGATGGCAGGTGACCCATGGCAGAGCCAGAGGTCCCCTGCGCCTCTGGGACTGGGATGGCGCAGATTGAGAGTGGATGCTACATGGGGTTACGCTGGGAGGATGTGGACAAGACCCTCTTTTGCATCCCCTGGAAGCACATAGCCAAGCAGGGCTACCAGGCGCAGCAGGACTCAGCACTCTTCAGGGTAAGGGGACAGGGGACTGGAGACGCTCAGCACTGGGCAGGTTCTGGACACAAGTGGCCCTGGTAGCGGGACTGACCAATAGCTGTGTGACCCTGGGCCACTCTCTGGCCTCTAGGACTGAGGGTAATCTTCTCTACATGTAAGGGACCCTCGGACACTCTCTTATAACAATCAGCCAAGGCTGCCACAACCTGCACCACCCTTCCCTCTCAGAGGACCTCTTCTCCCACTCCACCAATGCACTCATGGGAATTCCCTCAGCCTCCCACCCCCAAACCCACCAACCTCTGCAGCTCAGGAACCTTTTTGGTGCTCCCAACACCAGCCCTTCTCAGGGACCTCCTGCAGGAATGTCCTCCCTTTCCCCAGTCATCATTAACTTCTTCCAAACTGGCTCCTTTCTTGAGAAAGAGATGGTTAAGCTGAGGATGGTGGGAACTTGCCAGGGAAAGGTGAAGAGGAGAAGGTGTTGTAGGCAAAGGGAACCACATGTGCAAAGGTCTAATGGTGATAAAGACGTGAAGCATTTAGAGACGAAAACTACTAAACTGGGGGAGGAGAGGGAGTGGAGGCAGATGAGGCCCGGGAAGGGCAGTTCATGCATGGCTTTGCAGCCATGACGAAGAGTTGGAACTCTTTCACAAGGGTAATGGGGAGCTATGGTAAGGGAGGGTCAAAACCAGATTTATGGCCAGGAGCTGTGCCTCAACTGTAATCCTACCACTTTGGGAGGTCAAGGCAGGAGGATCACTTGAGCCCAAGAGTTTGAGACCAGCCTGGGCAACATAGTGAGAGCTCATCTATAGAGAAGAGAAAAAACAAAAAAGACCAGATTTGCATTTAGAAAGATCCCCCTGGAGGACCTTCTGGCATTGTGGGGGGACAGTTGCCATCATTTCAATTCTGGGCTGTCTTCCCTGAGCAATAAGCAACCAACCACACCCCCACACACCCCCGCCCCCCGCAAAACACCAAAGTCACCTCCAGCCCCTCCTTCTGTGGCCTCCCCCTCTTTCCACAGTGGGAAGCACCTGGAGAGCCTCCTCACACCAACTCCCTCCCTCTCAGCCTCGCAGCCCCCCATGACCAGTCTGGCTTCTGTCCCTCTTGATAATGCCTAAGTTGCCAAATCCAAGCATATGTCACTGTCTTCATCTTCTTTGGCTCCTGGATGGGTCTGGGTGGGTCTGCATCTCGTAGGCCCTCCCTCCTCCTTGAAACACTCTCACTTGGCTTCCAGAATCTCTGCTGCCTGCCCTGCAACTCCTCCCAGGCCTTTGCTTCTCAGCCTCCATCCTGTCCCCTCCTCTGCTGGGGCTCCCAGCACTCACTTCTGAACCTACTTCCTCATGTCCCACTTTCCCCTTCCATGGCCTCAGTATAGTGGCTCCGGGTCTTCCTCTGAACCCCAAGTCTGCTCATCAAGCTGCCTGCTGGGCGCTGTCTCCTGGATGGCCCCCAAGCACCTCAAACTCAACACACCCCAAACATCACACTCATCAGCTCAGCCCTACATACTTCTGCCATCTGGGTACCTGAACCCTGGCCACTCCCCACCTTCCAGCCTAATTCTACTCCATTACCAAGGCCTGCCGGCTCTCCCCGCAGAACATCTCTTCAGTCGATCTGCTGGAACCCATTTCTGTCAGCTCTCACGGGACAGCTGCAGTGACCTCCCAGGGCTTCCTGCTTCCCCCATCCCTCAGCAATCCCTGCAGTCCTCAAGAGGGATCTTCCTAAATGCAAATCTGGCCTCAATTCTCCCATACTCAGAATCCTTCCATAGCTCCCCATTGCCCTTGTGAAGGAGTCCCAACTCCTCACTATGCCCTCAAAGCCGTGCATGAACTGCCCCTCCCTGGCCTCATCTGTCTCCACTCCCTCCCATCCCTGACTGTAGCTCCTTTCATTTCTAAATGTTTCATGTCTTTATCACTGTTAAACCTTTGCACATATGATTCCCTTTGCCTGCAATGCCTTCTCCTCTTCACTTTTACCTGGTCAGCTCCCACCATCCTCAGCTTAACCATCTCTTCCTCAAGAGAGCCTTCCCCGGGAGGTGAGGAATAAAAGACTACAAATTTGGTTCAGTGTATACAGTT